ATTATATGATCAAATATAGCACCTAAACAATAGAAAAGGAATGGGTTCCCAATTTTAAAAAAACAAAATTTTCATTGCCTTATTGGTGCATTTAAAATTACATTGTCTTTGTTTTTATAAATAACCGGAAATTTTTATAATGTATGTATTACCAATAGACTAGTAGGATAATACACCCGAAAGTTGTAAAGTGGACTGGTAAAAAGTTTTAAAAAAGAATGAAATACTTTAGCTATTTGCCATCATTTTCTACCAAATAATGAGGACCTCTATTTTGCACAAATAACTAATTATATTAGCATAAGGTAACATGAATCAACATTAAACAAGTACTATTCCATCTACAGGCATGTCTAATGCAAAGTTTCTAGGAGACATATTTGATTTCATACAACGTCTTGAAATTCAGCATTTCTTATTACATAGTAATCCAAGCTAAACCATCCTAATTCTATTAATATTTTTCTTTAATTGTTTTCATACCACTTTCACAATTAAATTAATAACATGGCTGCACAACGTTAGTGAAAAACTTCAAATTGTTATATAAAGGATATTACTTTGAAAATAATCACAGCTTTACTATTAGAACTTGCATATCTAAAGTTAAACTTATCACTTTCTAACAACATCATAATCTTCTAAAACTTCAACAATTTTATTATAAATTTGTTCACCACTATGATACAACATCCATATCTAAATCCTAATAAAGATTTATTTAATTTACTTCATTATCAAAATATGACTAGTCCATAATATAATCTTGTTTACTCTACCACTCCATATCGGCAGTTAAAGCCACACTAACATGACAAGTATGTATTTTATTTTTTAATTCTAATTTCATTTTTTTAAACAATTTATTAAATCATTTCTAGTTGCAATTTTAGAATACTTTTAAATCCTGAAAATTGAATTTTGAACAAATCTTTCAAAATATTTATCTTTAGCCATATTAATAGGTTGATCAGTTGCAGCAATATATAAAGCTAACTGTTCCTATTAATACCATCAGAATTATAAAACCCAAATTAGTACCCATATTAGTTATTTGAGTTTGATTGCTTCTCTATTTCCATGTTGATTAATATGCTTATTAGCATGCATTTTAAAGTACTAGTACCATTACCTGAATCAGCTTTATAAATATTTTCATAGTATTTGCATCTCGCTTTCTGACTTGAACGCCATTTTCTGTCTCGTTAAAACTTGTCGAAATGCTCCAAACGTCTGATGCTGTGTCTGTCTTCGCTTTCGACGGCAGTTGATGATCCCGCTTCAACTTGAGATGAAGTTAGACGAGCGACGAAGATTACGAGGACACTTCTAGAACCACCGGATGGTTGAATCGGGGCATATTTTGAGTGTATCGGATTCTGAGAATGGAAAGCGGGACTATTTGAATTCCTCCTGCATTTATGTTAGTAAAATCAGCAAGACTAGGACTAGGATAGTAGTTTCCTTCATCATTGTAATTGATGGGAGAGAATATATATCCATCGTAGTTGAAAAAAAAAAATAATGTAGAAGAAATAAAAATTAAGAAAGAGAATTGAATATGGAAATTGGAATTTGGAATTGGAAATTGGAATATGAATTAAAAATTGTAAAAACTAATAAAAATTAAATACGAGCAAATTGATAAATGATAACAGAGATTAGAGAATAAATGAATAAGAGAGTTAGAGAATATGAGAGAATAGGATTTGAGTTGTGAGAAAAATGTGAGAGTTTAGGGCCAATTTATGGAAAAAAAAAAAAAAAAAAAGGAAAGAAAAATGACGAAAAGACCATCCAACGCTATATCTCAAGGGTAAAGAGGTATTTAAACAAAAAAATATTTATTTTTTTTTTTAGGCCAACCACCAACCCGCGGGTTGGCGGGTTGCCATTTTGCAACCCGCCCGCCCGAGGTTGCTTCCGGGTTCAACACACTCCGTTACGGGCCGGGTTAGGGTTACCGCCTAACCCGGCCCATTTGTTCCACCTCTATTTGCATCTAAAAAACTATGTTGAACTCATTTTTTAAAGTCATTAACTAAAAATTTAAAACTATATACCCTTTACTCAAAAAAAAATTTAGTTCTAATACAAAATTAGAATTTTATTTGTTGACGTCCATAAAAAAAAAAAATTAAAAAAAAAAATTTCCTCTGTTTGTTCCATGATATACAAAAGCAACTTCTCTCTTGTGATCGGATAACAAGCCTTTTAACCATATTAGCTATATCCAGAAGTCTTGTCTTCGAATCTTTGTAAACTATGACTCATTTTTAAGTGGGTTTTCTTTAACACATAGTTTGATGTAAAAAATTAATTTTAAAAAATTAATAAATTTTTAATTAAAGAAATAAAATAAATTATATAAAATTATAAGCTTTTGGTTGCTTTAAACCATATATTCATATTTTAAAAGAATGACACTTATATTTATTAAAACAAAATCAATTGTGAATTTTAGCCACATTGAGGTTGTATTCCATGCAATTTTTTTAATATTTAATTTTTGGAAGATAAAATTTATATTTTTGTTATCACGAGCATTAATAGGAATTATTTGATTGGGAGTTAAAAGACATAGACCTTCAGGTAACAAAATCCTTTCGAGGTTCTGAACTAACAAAAAATTCTTTTATCATTAATAAACCGTACTGATCCTTAATATTTACATTATATTATTAAATTATCCTTTTATCATATTTTTACGGTAGGGTTGACAAATAATTTATTTATTTTATTTTTAATATTTATGTTTTGGAAGATAAGTACGCTCTAGAGTCCAGAATCTGGGATAAGGTTAACATAAAAGATTGTGTATTTATTAGAGTTCATCTAAATATCCAGTCTGTCTTCTGTCACTAAGTACCCCACCTCCAGCTTTCTCAATTAAGGATTACTATTACTTAACACACGCATTTCTTTTTCCATTATTACAGTTTGTGAATTTATTTTTTTTAAATACATGATTAAAATTTTAACTTTCACAAAATAATTCCAATAAATAGGGCGTGTTTACATCCATGTAGTTTATATATATTATACGGTGTATATTAACATGTTTTGTATCAATCGATATAGATGAATCATCATTGAATCATGTCATAAGCATAATAAGAATTATTTGAGCGGAAGTTAAAGATATAAACATCGGGTAACAAGAATCCTTTTGAAAAGAACACTTTTAAGGTTTATGAAATACACAAAATCTTTTTGCCGTTATGATTTGTTAAAATTTACATTATTATAAATTAGTAAATATTACTAAATTACTCTCTTATCATTTAATTAATACTTAAAACTTGACACAAGTAAAACTTATTTCTAAAACCTCGAAGACTTAATGTCTTAAACTCAGTGAACTTTTATTTATAAAAATATTCAATATGGGCCCAACCTGGCCAGCCGGCCCCCATCTCAGCTCAGCTCAGCCCAGCCCTTTCTTTTTTGGGTGCAACCGAACAATGGAGGGGACATTACCTGAAAACTCTGAAAGCTGGTTTTCTGGAAGAGCCATCAATGGCGGCACTAAAAGCTTACGCATCAAGTAGCCCGGATGAAGTTCACACCGACGTGCTCCTTAAAGCGAGACAAGACTGTTACAAGGCTCGTGACGCTTTTTATTCGTGCTTGGAGAAAGAAGCCACAAGAAACCGACTGAAATCGCCTCTGTGGGCCTCTTGTACCCAGTTGAATGCAAGAAATCGAGGGCCGAGTTCGTCATAATTGCCGAGCTTCTGGGTAATCCAATTGATGCTTTTGCATTTCAAAGTGTTAAGTTTTTAAGCTTCATGTTACGTTACTGGTCCTGTTTGTGGGATACCGTTAGGGATTTTATTTTCATTGCATTGTTATTTGTGTATTTTCCATAACGAAATTTTTAAGCCTGAGAATGTTTAGCTTCTTAGGTAATCAACTTTGAGTTTTACAACTTCATTATACGATACTGGTTCGGTAATGCTACTGGGGTTCCGTGTACGGATTATATGTTCAAATGTAATCAAATCTTATATTTTAGCTTCTTGGGTTTCAAATTGATGTTTGTATGCTTGAAAGTTTTAACTTCACAAATTTTTGAGTTTCATGATATGTTTTTGGTTTTTAGGCTTACCGTTACTGATTTCTGTTGTTCGTATTATTTGTTTATGATTTTATTATGCTTTTCCTAATTGGGAGTAGAATAATATTAGTAAGTGATGATATTGCTTGTTACTTAATGTTCCACATGATATATCTTGTTGTTTTTGGTATTGTTACCGGATATTGTTCTGGTAGTATTGCAACTTTTTATTGTTGATAAGTTAGTGAGTTTTGATACTACAACTTTTTTGCTATATTTTACGTCATATTATATGCTGAATGTAAAGTAGTAACACAATATGAATTCTATACACGGTTGATAAAAGTTGTCATTATGGTGATGGACTCGCCCTGTAATGTTATAAAACCAGTATCATAGTAAGTAATTTTGTTTTTTTTTTGATTGGTTTATTGTTGTGTATTTGGGTGATCAGTGAGGCATTTTGATAGTTGTAGCAAAACGAGGGTACAGAGGCTATTGGACATGGTGGCCAGACAAGGAGAGGTCAGATGTTGCTTCCACAGCCATACACATTCAAGCCTCCTTCTGAATCTAGTTAGATTGTTTTTATTTAACTTTTGAGCTTTAGGTTAGTCATTAAATGCTTCTGAATTTTTTCCTTTTTTTTTGAATTAAAGTCTAAAAGATTTTTCTTACAGTACTGGGTATATGATACAACGTACATTAGTAGCACCTATGCTACACTTTTTAGAAATAGTAGTGAAAAAATATTCAGGTTTATAATGTATTCGATAACTATCATTTATTATGTATGTCTACTTTTTGTATTTGATTGATACTGAATGGCTTGACAAAAAACTTCACTTTTCAATTATGAGTTATTACAGTTTGAGGAAACAGTGTGTTGGGACTGTTTGAAGTGGATAGTGCCCTCATGTTTAGTTTGTCCTTTTGGCAGGAGTGTAAAGCCGGATTGGGAATGCAAGGAGGTCTAGAATGGGCTTAAGACTTGCTGCAATTTTAGGGGGTTTGGTTACTTCTTGTCATGTTGTCTGTGGATCTGAATTAAAATAGTGTATTTGAACCTAATACGATTCATGCTTTGTACCATAATAATGAAAGTTCAAGCATGACGATACTGCTCTTACTCTCTAATGCTTTGTATTTTCCTTTCTTATGATTGTTTCTGGACTAACTTAAGGTCTTTAGACCGATAAAAGAATGAATATATAACACACACTAGTTGCTTCTGAAGTGCATGAATGTTGTTGACATCATCCTGACGGTGCATTCTATTATGTGCTTTATATTTGAATGTGTGTTTGTATTTGTTTGAGGTTTTATAATGAGTATTGATCGTGTGGCTTGTTGAGGTTGAAGCTGAGTTTATATAAACATATTCTTAGTCAATGCGAAGGCTGACCAAGTTAAATTTCATGATTGATACCCTTATGCTGTGATCGGAAAAGTTTCAAATCTTGTTTGAGAACATTCATATAAACCTTCTTTAGATTTTTTTGCTCTTTCATAATTTTTACTTGCTTAGGATTGTTTGACTCAAATGAAACGCAGCTTGAGTGTTGGAGAGAGTCTTCCTTATATCGGGTGACAATGTCACTCATGCGTCAAGTCAATAAAATTCTGCCACATAGATAATTATTTTAAAATTCACCATCATATTTTGTTGAATTATGGAAAGAGAATATATTCCTGCATGCCATGCATTTAGTGGCTTGGACATGGATGACATGATGCACCCAATTTAGAAGATTTTTCCCCCAACGCTGAGTTATTGAGTGCCACTCATTAGTTGATTGGGAGTATACTGGAACCTATTTATTGCAATATTAGCAAGAAATAGTAGAAGAAATAGACAATGCTGTACATTTCAAAATTTGTTGTTGCAGATTGTACAATATCATATTGTTCGTTGTCACTTCTGTATTTCTGTAATGAGCTAAAGATTTGTTAAGGATTTCGGTAGATAAAGATGGGAAAAAACTCTAGTTGTGCAAAGAAGTGGTACAATGTGCTGAACTCAAAGACCATTAAAAGAGAACCAATAAAAGGGAAAACATAACAAGAACTATGTAGGTTATTCTCCATCTTTGAAATTATCTACCAACGGTGTAGGAGTAGGAATTGCGTTATGTACTTTTTGTTCCTCTGTTTCCTTAAATAATCTCTAGCTATTGGATTGATGGAGTCTTGATTTTTATTTTTTTATTTACATTCTTACTGTGGTGCTGTGTTTGCCATGTCATTGTGAGAGTCATTGGTCAGTCATGCCAGCGGAAGCGAAATGAAAGGGTTTATATGGCAAGTAAATGTGTACCTTTTTCCTCTTGTTATGGTTTGCTTTGGTTGGAATAAGAGTGTATCCGTATGTTAGGATCCGCATTGGAAGGAAAAGGTGGTGGACATGTGGGTTATAAGGCTTGGGCACCCTCCCTTGGCAAGTCGGTTTTTCAAGGAGAGTTTTACCAAGCCCATGAAGACCCATGGCCAGCCACAATTGTTGAGTTGCTGGGATAGGTTCCTTATCAATTGGTATCAGGCATGATCCTGCGCCTACGTGACAACGCATATAGCACGTACAAGAAATCATTTCTGTGGTTCAAACGTAACTGCCTGCTTCAACCTTAGTTTAAAGACATACTGATGCACATTATCTGAGAATCATTTGTTTTTGGTGTCCGTAGAATCAACTAGGGTTCAGTCTTGTTCAGTATTCACGGTATCTACCCAGAATCCTGAAATATCTTATTATTCTCAGAATCAACAGAATTTTAACACTGCAATAAAAAATATGTTTAAAAGATACAACAAAGCACTATTAAATGTTAACACTAAGGATAAAACATTAGGTTATTTCCACACAGTTTCTGAAGTCTGAACTACCAGTTTGTTTAATTCCCACTTCTGAATTATTTTTTGACTGTTTGCTGGTATTAATAAGTATGGGCAAAAACTATATTTTAAGTTGGACTTAGAATTTGTGCCTTGACAATAAGTAGTGCACTACATGTCTTTCAAGGTAGTAAACATTTTATTATATTTGATATCATCCTGCAAGATCTGGAAGATTAAGCATCTCAAAGTTTCAAGACTAGTGCTCCGTTGTGCTGGTTTTGATAAGAACAAGCTGAAGATATTAAGGATGTTTAAAAAAATGTAAAAACTGAACTGAACCGTAAACCGAATCAGTAGTTGAACCGTTAACCAATTGGTAATCGAACCGAAAAACGGTTCAGTTACGGTTCAAGAATCAAAAAACCGATTTTAGGTTCGGATAAAAATGAAAACGATTAACTGAAACCCTTTTTTTACCGGTTTATTATATATATATATCTTAATCCCTAAATTTGTACAATTTCTTTATTTTTTTCCATTTGAACTTATTTAGTTATTTTGTTGTTTTATTATGGACGTTTTATTACGGACTTTTATTTTTGTTTAATTTCGGACTTTTATTTGTATCATTTTTTAATGTATTGTTAGTTGTAGTCATGGATATGTATGAATATTAATATGATGAATTTAATTTTTATTTGATATGTATTGTTGATGTTTACAATTTAATTTAGGCAAAAAATTAAAAAAAAATAAGTTTTATCCAATAAAAGGGAAAACCGGTTCAAAATCAGTTAACTGGTTTTTTCAAAGCGTTAACCGAAAACCGTTGGTTTCATTTCAGAATTTTCTAAACCGAAAAATCAGTTGGATTCAAGAAAACCGCTTTTGACTCCCTAGAAGATACACTTAGATACCAAGTTTGTTTTAATACACTCATATGCTCTATCCAATCAAAATGCATATATGCATTATAGACAGTGTATATATGTCTATAGTTTATCTGCTCATTCTACCGTGTAAGACACGTGTGCTAATGTGGCTTAGACTGATTGGACGAGCATATATATATATATATCTATATATATTACGTCGTTTGCCTTATTAGATTATACGTGCGAGATTGCGTGTCTGATGTGGATCTAAATTTGATTAGACATAGTATATGTCTATCGTCTATTCAATCAAATTGCACGTGCAAGATATGCATGCACACGTGGCTGACTGACGAGTGGATATCTATAGGTGCGTTGGTTTATGTTTTTTCCTATTGCTCAATCCTATTCTTCAAATGTGTTTGGCACGCTATTCCCAAAATATTAGTATATTTTTTTAATTACTTTAGACCCCATAAGTTTATTAATCTCATAATACCCCCCAAAAAAGTTTAAAACTAACAGAAACACCCCCATCCGCAATACTTGCCAGATTCCGGCAACCACCGTCGGTGGTAGCCGGAATCTGTCATAATAGTCACACGACCATCGGAAATGGCCTGTAATGGCCAGATCTGGCCGTCTGTAATGGCCAGATCTGGTCGCCTGTGATGCCAAAAAAATGGCCGACGTTGACTGTCAATGACGGCCAAATCTTGGCCATCGTTGACAGACAACGACCCATATCTTTGGCCGTCGCTGACGGCCAAAGTTGGCCTTTTCCGGCCGTTGAAGGCCACATCCGCTTATCCAAGGCCTTTTCTAGTCAGATCCGTGGTGGATTGTCGAAAAGGCCACTCAATAGATACCTGCCAGATCTGACTGGATTTTGTGGTTATCCAATTTTCTGGCCAGATTCCGGCGGTGGTGCCGGAATCTGGCACTTTGGGTTAGGGGTGTTTTGGTCTTTTATAATATTTTAATATATTGGGGTGTTTATTAAATTAGCAACTTGGGACTTTTTATAAATTTTTAAATTTATCTCGTAATACTCCTATTCAACTATCCAATAATATCCTCAAAATTATAAACCAAACGCACCCTATATGTCTTGTTCTGACCATCGGATTACCATGCAAGCCATGTATATACACATCGTCTATTTAATCAATAAACGCATGACACATATTTGCTGATGTGGCCTGAATTGACTAGACATGCGTATAAACTCGCATACTACATATTTCGAGGTATTTAAAGAATTGAATTATACCCATTTAATATCCAAAAACATTACAAGATTTAGTATATATTAAACCATTTAATTGTCCTAACTCCTTGCTGGCTACCACTTAGTCATCCATTTTTCTAGGTCAAGAAATCTCTCCTAGTCAAGTGTTATTATGTCATAGTGTTAATTGACCTAACAATTAAATTACCCAACTTGTTAACCACCACAATTATCATTATCTCTAAACTATAACAATTTCCAATAAATAATTAACTTAAAAAACTATTACTTTTTTCCCTTTGCATCCGACAAATAAAAAAACACCCACCAACACTTGGAATACTTACAAAAATGTCACCCACAAGCCCTATTTATTTATAGATAAGCTTTTGAATCATTTTTTTTTTTTATAAGATAAGGTTTTAATTAATGGTGTATATGTGTATATCTGGTTTTGAAATTAATTTAGGCTATGATTGAAGTGTGGTCAATTAGTGTTCAATATAAGAGGATTGATTTGACTCCCAACTAGGAAGTTGCTTTCACATGCCCAAATAGTCAATTTTATTGATGCAATTTAAGACCCAACATCATATAAACACAACTACAAAAAAAAATTAATTAATTTTATAATTCTTGATAATTTTTTTTTTTTTTTTTAAAGACTTCAACCTATATATAGAGATTAGTGACCCCACAAAGAAGACAAGCTCGGCTTCTTTGTTATCTAGAACAATTTTTTTTTTTTTTGGTATTAGGGTATCCGAATCAATTCTACGTGTACTTTGACTAATCCTTCATATCCTCGAGTTACCGATCAATAAACTATTATAATCAAGGGAATCGAATTCATACTTCTTAATAATATACTCAAGAGTTTTTACCGTCCTATTCGTACCCAAAAATATTTATCTAGAACATGTGGTTTTAAAGAATTTTCATATTTAATAATTTTTTTAAAAAAAAAAAAAGGTAAAAAACGACATGTCGTGACTTGAACTCTAATCCACACGATTCCATAAAAAAAAAAAAATGATTAACAAACCTCAAAGTACTCAACACCTTACTTCATAATTATATTGTAATTATAAAGATATAATTTATTATACAATAATTAAATAGTAACATCACGACAAGAGAAATAAATAAAAAACAAAAGGTCCCACGATCAGAAATTAATTATTGAATTAAAAAAAAACACACTTGTTCTTGGCATTGTGTCACTTTTCCACAAAGTCTACACAAATACGACGTCGTGTTGACATTAAAAATTAAAGATCGTCTTATTTTCGTAGACTTTGGGACAGCCTCAAACCAAAGTGAGTCAACGCGACTTTCGCCGTTATTACGGCTTGGAAACGGAGGCGGCGTCTTTAACGGAGGGGTCAGCTGCGCCGTTAGCCATGGAGGCAGATTGGACGGTTAAAACAGACATGCTAGGCGAGGAGGGTCCTTCACCGTTGGATTGGAGTATGGGATTGCTGTTGGGGCCGAGATTGTTGATCATGGGGCTCCTGTTGTGACACGTGGCTGTGGAGATTGCGGTGGCGAGTGAGATGGGCATGAGGCAGAGGCCTTTGCCTTGTAAGTACTGCATGGCGGAGCCCATATCCTCCTCCATCAGCTTGGCCACCTGGTGTTCCGTCACCGTTAAACTGTCGTTGGATGATGCTGTTTGGTTGCCGTTAGTATTACGTGGATTGTGGGAGCCACCTGTCCCGTTGGCATTCGCTTGGATACAGTCACCACCTCCTGCTCCACCTCCCTGGAAGCAAAAGACAACAGTGTAAAAATATCACTTGAGTCCTCCTACATTAATCATTTTTCAAACTCATCCTCCTCAATCAAAAAAATTTCACACATATCCTTTATGAACAAACAAAAATCTTGATTACATTGCACCAAATAACATTCCATGATGCATATAACGTTTTATTTTTCAGGAATTTATTTACTACAATAAATTATTTGTATAAACTACGACAGTGTCATACTTCAGTTAAAATTAAAAGACCATTATAAGAGTTTTATAATAATAATCCATTTTATGCTCTACTGAAATTTAAATATTGGGAATTTCAGGATATCATTTCGGTTGTGTAATGTGTAGTATATTATTATTATTTATAAGGGATAAGGTTGTAAGAAGTAGATACTAGATAGAACAAAAATGAATTTGATGAAGTGTAGGGATCTGGATGAAAATTTACTTAAAAAAAAAAAAAACAGAAGGCAAGTATTAAGAGAAAAAGGGTGAGAGAGAAAGTGAGGAATCTGAGAAAGTAAGCACGCGTGCTACTTTAGGGAGTTGTCGTTTTGTGGTGATTGAGTTTGAGTTTTGATTTGATTAGGGTTTGGTGGGTGAGTGGGAGTGGGTGGTGGGTAAGGTTTGGTTTGGTCCTTTTGAGAAACCACCCCCTCCCTTAAAAAATAAAAAAAAAAAACCTTTGATTTTATGCTTACGTTTTGCACATGTATATCTCATTCCCTAGTTTCTTCTTTTGGTAAGCCTATAAAACTTACCCATGTTAAATTTAATTCAATATAAACCCTAAAATTTCCCTAGTCCGAATTCGAAACTAGAGCATGCCGAACCCTTAGAAGTCTATAATCTATGAGGAGATTCGAATCATAAACCCGATGGAACTAAACTAACGAATGTTTCGTTTCACCTAAAACTTTCTCGACTAGATAATTTGACAAATGGGGTTATTGTTGTGGGAAGTGAATTATGATTTGTTACCTCGGAGGAAATATCAGCAACAAGGGGAGCAACAGCAGCAGCACCGCCCAATCGGCTCATGCTGAGAACCTGTAAAAAGCAAAGGAATTTTAGTTACAGAAAGCGCCATACATTGATAACCAAATGTGGATTTAATTAATGATATCTCGATAACAATGTCAACCAAAATGGAATCCTTTTTCAATTCTTTATACTTTATTAAAATTAAATAAGTCTGTCACAGAATAAAAAAAGATACCCAAAAGAGATCAAAGAAAAGAGATTAATTAAAGAACCTTCACTTGCAGCTGCAGGAATTTCACATAGTCAATGATCTCATCTAGCATTGAAGCTTTGTCCGTCTGTCAATCACAATTATTAACCGATAAAAACACAGTCTTAATTAAGGATTAGATTAGATTAAGAAAAATTTATTAATTACCTTGTTGGCATTAGGTACGAGTTCTTGTAGAGCCTTCATTCTCTCTGCAATTCTTTCTCTGCGTAACTGCAAACATTTGAATATTAAACAATTAAACCCAGAAGAGAAGGGTAAACGGACTAAAGTGCAAAGAATTTAAAGTTTTGTATACCCTTTCAGCTATGCTGTGAGGATCAGTGGCTTGACCTCTCCTTGCCCTGACCCTTTGTCTCGGCTGAGCCGGGTTGTTCCCTCCGGTTGACCCACTTGCCTGAACCTGAGTCTGAGCCTGACCCTGGTTCATCACCGGCGCTGGTGCCCCGTAGCTCTGTGCCTGCATGTCATCTTTTTACTCGTTAAAAAAATTATCCAGTTTCTGAAAACAAAAACATTAGAAAAAAACATGCCTGAGGATGGTGAAAATGTTGAGCCTGCTGGTTTGAACCCTGACCCGCTCCATGCAAAGATCCGGCGAACCCGTTAAACAGTGCCTGCACCGAACCATCTCCTCCCTGAAAAGATCAAAAACAAAAACGTTTAGAACTTATAAATTCTAAACAACCTTAAACCTAAACGGACTGTTCACAGTTATAAGAAGTGAGCTCGTAAACCTGATGACTGGTAGGAGACTTAAAAGACGACGCATCAACGATGTCGTTTTCGCCACCATTTCCAAGCGATAACGGCATCCCCATGCCGGCTCTGGCACCCATCATCATCTGTTGCTGCAGCATCATCTTAGCCGCGGCGGCAGCCGCCGGTGAGACGTTAACTGCACCAGAACCACCACTGATCTGGTGCTGCCTCAACTTGGAAGCTAAGAGCATAGAGTCATCAAACTGGAAGCCAACATTTTCGTGACTAGACGGCGCAGTTTCGTCGGACGCGGAGTTGGAGTTAATGTTATGTTTCGCAGAAGGAGAAGGGTTAAGGTCAACCCAGGGAGATTTCAGCTCGGAGCTCCATGAACACGAAGGATTAATAGACGATAACATTTGTTCAAGAAAATCATCTTGAGACGGAGGATCAAACGCTGCGTTTTGATGATGCTGGATCTGTTGATGATCGAACTGTGAATTCATTCCTTGCATTTCTCCACTACAAGGCTGCTGCATCTTCATAAGTATTAAACAAAAAACAAGTTAAAGGGTTTTACTTTCACATACAAAACAAAATAGAAAGTGTTTTCTGTTTTCTGTTCTTCGTTTTTGTGTTTTCAGTTTGGAGGTGTTGGTGGTGGTGGTGTTGTTGTTGAGTTCAGAGTTTGAATGGGTTTGTGGATGTTAAATAGAAAATGTTTTTGGCTTTGGGTAGAGGGGATTAGGATTTGTTTTTTTGTTTTTGTTTTTGTTTTTGTTTTTGTGTTGCGGGCGTTTTGTAATGGTGATAGGGGTCTTTGTTTTGAAGAGAGATGTTTATAGTTTCCATTGAGTTAACATGTTTCACTTTCACATCAGGCGCGTGGGACGTGCTTTTCTCTTACACTTTTTTTAAACTTTAAATTTTAATTTTAATAAAACGAGATCATATGAAATTTTCTAAATTAAAAAATAGTTTGATATTCATTAAAATGTATTATAAACTTCCACCTTTATATAGCTCATGATAGAACAAATATTTGAATATGTAGTTAAAGCACATAGTTTTAAGTTAAATTCTCCTAAATTTCAAATTTAAGTGCGAGGTTGTGAAAGTGTTGTTGCAGTTGCTTTCACATCAATAGTTAATTACGTATAAACTGATTGAACATTTGATTATAAAAAATATATTATTATATAAAAACTTTGTTTTTTAACAAATATATCGAATTTGTATATTGAAAATTTACTTAATTTTTTCACAATTTAAATGATACAAATCCAGTATTTCATAAATGAATCAATACATTTTTATGTAAATCATTACCCCTCTTCAAATAATTATATCCCTTGCTCTTAACCTATAATTATTAATAGTTATTCTCAAATTTGCGAAAATTCTTAGACATTATTCACCTTACCACTAAAATATTATTTATCAATATCAAATAATAAATTCATACATGTATATATATAATGTTAATCTCATTGTTATATATACCATTCAAAAGTTGACTTACAAATACATAGCATAGATTCCAAGTTACTTATCAATTTCTAATTTCGCGTTAAAATTTAATTATTAGGAAAAAAAAAATTCATGTACAAACACGCGCCGCATATCGCGTGGACTCATTCTGTTGAAAATATCACTCCCAGGTCTCATACGGTCGGCCAGTCGCACTGGGGTTCACATTCAAACCCCTGGTGAATTGACTATTTACCATCTAATCATATCCACGCGGCTAATTACTACTAATTACTCATTATCAAATACTTTCCACTGCGGACAAAACTACGTACTACCATGCTACTTGCCCTAATCAACCGCCACGTTTATCTCTAATGACGTAACTTTTGATTTTTAGTTAGTCTTTCCCTAAATTTTTGTCTTCAATTTCAGCTAATTTTTAGGTGAATTGAGGAAAAAAATAATAAATAAACTTTTTATTTTGAATATTATAATTAAATAAATTTAAATTTCGAATATATTTTTAACTTACTATGATACTCAATAAAGAATATTTTTATAAGGGATTTTACCTGATTTTGTTCTCTTAAAATTGCGTTCTTTTATAATATTTTGATGTATAGATAATGTATACGATTGTGATATAAAATCAAATATGCTTTATACCTTTATATTAATATATTAACATTGAGATATTGTATATTATGATTTAATATAATTAAATGATTTAAAATTTCTGTTTATTTTGTATAATTTCCTAAAAATATTACACCTTAATTATATATTCTCTTAATTTTGGTTTATGTATTAATGAAATTAATTACAAAATTATTTCTAAAATTTTAATCTATTGTACTCTTACGACACAAGAGGAGAAACTATAGTTAAGAGTAAATATTAACATATAAATATACAATTGAACATATAATTGTAATATTAACTATGCATAAATGCGGTTTTTATATTATGATAACTGGTTTTAGGTACAGCTCACCCCAAAAATTAGCTAATGAGAGAGAAGTCTAATTTATATACATTATACAACCTACTAAATTAGCGATGTGGGACAATAACAACTTCTAGCATATTTAAAAAAAAAAAAAATTGAAGATATGCTGACATATGCCACAATCATAAATCTGAAGAAATATAAGACAAATCTTCTAATCTCTATGTGTTAAGATTTTGGCCTTATGCATAATTTAAAGGAAAATTTATTCTCATAGAATTATTATGCATGTTTCCTACCTCAACCACGACCAAGATAATACAATTAATTAATTACAATAATTTTTTATGTGTACAATTATTGAATATAAATATAATTATAAATGTAATGTAAATGTAAATTAATCTAAGAACTAAAAATTCTCACCAAATCTGTTAGCCCATGTTCATTGTATCACACATAAGCTAGAGACCATTTCAAGGCAAAAATAAAATATGAGAACTTCAAGAAGGTGAATGTAAGGTAATTTTTTTTTTGTTTTTTTGTATCATTAATTGCTTTGAAAATTGTTATTATTAATTAATTAATTAACCCTAATTATGCACTCTATTTATTTTGCCTTCAATAATAGTATTTAATTATACTATTACGTTTTCGATGGATCAACTAAGCACATGGGACATTCTATTCTATCTTCGCTTTGACTTAGCTAGATTGTTTAATTAATCTTGAATTTAATTATAATTTTGTGTTAAGATTTGATGATAGGGGCAGTTATCAAAATCTTTATTATATAGTTTAATTTTATTTTGGTTGTTTGAGTTGGGCTATGCTTATATTAATATATAAATAGTTAAAGGATAATCGTACTTTGAACTATATACATGTACCTTTATTCTTTAACAATTAAATCATGATTGTGATTTTTATTTTGTTTTTGTTAATTGAGGTGTTCGGTCAGTTTATGCTCACCTTGACTCCCAGATAAATCAAGACCTAGTGAGAAATTGAATCTGAGATTATGGGTTGAAGCTATGCACAACCCCTTTGGTTCGCCATTACCATTTAGCTACCTATGGGGTGGGTTATTTTACAACATTTTTTTATATGTATTTTTTGAATGATTAATTATGTAAATTGCATTAAATTTCAATAAGGGCATATGTGTCAAAACACTAATTTTAATATATTTACACTATATGAAAAACAAACAATTCAATTTATAATCAAATATTAAGAAATAAGAAACAAACATATCGATCAAACCTGTATAGTCGGACTATTCTCAGATTATAAATGCATTCAACTTGCAAACAAAAAAACAAACGCCAACTTAGTTAAGGTTAATTAATTAGAGTTTACCTAATGTAATGCTTGGTTCGGCGATCATTAATTAGCTTAATTATAGAGTTAGTGACTTTTTTTTTTTTTTTTTTTTCCAAAGACGAGGATTTGATGCATGTTATGGAATCTCATCAAATCCTCACTTTTAGTATAATTAATTAAAACTTAATGTATTTACATATCATATTAAAAAAAAAAAGTTATCATAAAAAAATAAAATAAAAAAATCATTTTTGGGTCAATGCTCACATTTAATGCTCAAGATATTTTTATTATTTTATTTTATTTTTGTGAAAAATATGTAGCTCAATTAGGGTGTCAAAGTTTGATTATGATTAGTAAAAATTTAATTCTTGGGTTAATATTTCAATATATAACATAATATTTAAAAACTTTTTTCGGATTAAATTATAAAAAGTTGTGAAAATAAATTTTAATCGTTTATTGATTTTACATTAGGCTTTAGAATTGTATCCAAAAGCTGTTGTCAAAATATTTTCAGCTCATTTTTACAAAATGCATTTCCATAAAATTTTGAGGAATGTTATGCGTATTCACGGATCTTATTAACCTTTATTAAAATTATATATGATACCCGTATTATGCTTGTGGTATCTATACTATATTTTATATTTATAAAGGTTAGTACGATGGTTAGTACACTCGTAAGTACGCATGATATTATTCTAAAATTTTTGATTCCCTTCTTTTAAAAAGAAAAATTAGATTTAAATTCTATATCAAACCGACTTTTAATTTTTGTAATTACGCGTGAACCTCATGAGCTCTTAGTCAATGGAAACATAAATTCTCTGTTCAATATTCAACGTTTTGTGTGCAAAAATCATCAACTTTTGACAAAGAATTTGAAATGTTTTTTATCATTGCTTGCTTGAAATTCCATATAATAATATTTTTTTTATATATATATATTTTGAAAGAAAATATTAATTATAACCAATTGTTGAGTAGTTCAAATGGTTAATGCAAATTTAAGATAGTATGGATATGTGTACGGTTTTAAGTTTGATTCCTAATTTGAACATCCTCGATTTAAGTTCGAGAGTAGGAGATGCTCAAATTAAATCCTCAGAATATGCTTCAACTCTTAATTAGACAATACAATTATAGTCAAATTTTGGAGTAGCCTCAAGATTTCAGAATAACTTTATTATGCCAAGACATGATTTGAGTCCATTTGTGAAAACGTATTGAAAATGGGCCACATGAATAATAATATTCCTCACTCAAAATAAAATATAAAAAATTAAAAATTAAAATTAAATTAAAAAAGAAGAAGAAAGAAGATTTGACAAGCCTACAAAGTGGAGACAGAACCAATTCAAACAAATTAGAAGAGTCTTAATTTCAAGAGAAATAATGTTTATTTCTTTGGGATAAAAATAATTTAATAGGATTACTATATTCTTTTATGTAGTTATGAAACTTCTCGGACGAAAATTTTCAAGTGCGAACGTTTTGAGTGAACCGAGGGGTTAAATACTAAGGGTTAAAAAAATGTTATCAAGAGTATTATATACTTCGATATATTAATGAAAATTCTCATATGTGAATGTTCTAAATTTTGGTTTTTGTATTATGTTAAAAGTAAATCGTGATTCTTATATTTCAAAACATCCCACCAAAAATAATTATAATATAGCAATTTTGAAGGGTCAATAACGATACTGATTCCATACGGTAATATTACTATATTAAAGTTTTATTTATTTATTGGGAATTAGGAATTAAAAGCTTGTAGGTATATGTCCTTGTCTTGTACCAATCATATTCCACTTTGTTTAAGAAGATAGGCTTTCTTTACACCTCAATTCCACCCATAGCTCATCTATGAATAAAAAAAACCATACCATATTTGATTTATAATTTATTAATTAAAATCTTGTTCAACTTTTGTTATAATATGATCCTAAGCTTACCTTATTCTTATATATGCATTGAAAATGACCCCATAATAAAGTCTATAATAGACTTAATTTTATTCCTTTTCTTTTCTAATGAGAACAAAATTGACAAATTTTCTTTTTACAGGTTTTTGCATCGAACAAAATTTTAATAAAAAATATTGAATTTACGATCTCCTTATTGATAAATATTTTTATTTTCTTGTAATTTGCAAAAGAATTTTAGACATAAAAAATGCATCCAAATTTTTTTTTTTTTTTTAAATCTTTCTATATTAAGTTGTTTGATTAAAATTTTAATTCAATATTGAAAATGAGAGTCTAAACCCATCGTCGGCCCCAAAAAAATGTGGCTCCAATACCTTGTGGGCTTTGGTAAAATTCACTATGAAAAACTATCTAGAAGGAGGAAATCTAATCATATATACACTATAACAGTTTACCAAATTGATGATATGTGATAATATATATATACATAACTTTTACTTTTATTGATAATCAAATATGAATATGCAAATTCCAAATTAAAGTTAGACAATTATTGAATTGCTTCTTTATCCAAAATTCTCAAATCAAATTATATGCCGACTTTTTTAATTCAATATTTGGTTGGACATTGACATTTCAATTCTAATTACGTCATTCATTTTTTTTCTTGAAATATTCCTTGTTGGCTTGAAGTTGAAATTGATACTTGAAAAGCGAAAGAAATTATTTTATTAAATTAATTCGGAAATTTTCAATCTTATATATATATAAAATTAAAGGTTAAATTGAATCTTTCCCATAAGAGATTGAAAATTTCCGAATTAATTTAATAAAATATATATATATATATATATTAATCAGGCTTGGGTAGAACTTAGCAAAAATACTAAATAAACGAGTTTTGTGGAACTTATCCCTAAAAACTAGTTCAAGGAGAAAAAAAGTTCAATCACATATATATTATAACAGTCTATCAAATTGGCGACGTGTAACATATACAACTTTTGAAAATTCGAATATAATATATTGATATGATTAAGTTGAGAATTGATTCATCTTGTTAGAAGTATGTTTGTTAATATGTTTTTATAAAAATAAATTATAAAGTGCTTTTAATTATTGAAGGAGTTTATTACAATTTTCCCTATGAGTATCATGGAACACAAAATTTCCCCTCATGTATCTAAAATGATAATACCCTTATAGCCACTGTTTTGTTAACGTTTCATCAATTTAACTAAATACATTTATTTTACATTTAACCCATTAAATTCAATTGTAAAGTTCACACATAATACTACTAAAGGCGGGGTAAATTGTTATTTATGATTCCTAAGGGGGAAATAAGAAGCTCGTATTTTAAATAACAACAAAATGATGGATACAAATTAATAAAGGAAAAGGGTATAAGATTATAAAGTCATTAATATTAATCATGAAACTTAACAAAATCATGCTTAATAATAATAATAATAATAATTTGAGTCAGCTCTAGGAATTATTGTTGTTTTAAAGTATGATCTTTGGACGTGTCAAATAGTCAAAAAAGCCCCATTTAATTAATAATAATAAAATAAAAAAAAAGAAGAAATTTAATTAATTAATTGCTTGGAAGAACAGAATACTTAGAACTCATTATTAAAAAGAAGAAAAAAAAGGTGAACATTATCATCCCACTCCAAATTAATCAATTAAAAAATATAAGAAACTAAAAGGTCTTTAAAATAAAGTTTGAAAATATCCCAAGTAAAAGAAAGTATTTAATATTTGGTGTGGTTTTAAATTATTATTATTTTTTTAAATTCAGAAATTAAGGATTTAAAAAAAAATAAAATAAAAGAGTTTTTGATAACTATTTTGAAAGAGTGGAAAAAACTATTGTTTAATTTTAGTCAAGAAAATGGGATAATATAATCTTTATATAGAATTTAAATACAATTTTTATTTTTGATTGAAAACAAATAATACGACAAATTTTATGGAAATACATTCAATAGAAATAGGAGGAATGTTTTAAAAAACAGTTTTCGAATACAATCGCAAAAACTAGTGTTTAGAAAATAATTTTTAAAAATAATTTAGATATTATATCAAACATATTTTCAAATATTAATACAATTTAAACGTTTGAATTGGTATTTTAATTTAGAATCACGAATCAAACAAGCCCGATTACTTTAGGGTTGTTTGATTTGTCTTGTGAAATAAATTTCAAAAAATTAATAAATGATTAAAAATCGAAGTTGTATTATAGAATTATATTCCAACTTTATTTTTTTATTATATTATTTTTTTTATGTATGATTTATGGGTGCTTTATGATATATATTAATGAATTATATTTTCATATGGGTGGATTGAAAATGACACTTAAGAGTTCCATCACAAAAAAAACAAAAGAAAAGGTTGACAATCTTTTAATTGGGCGGTTAAGCTTCAACCAATTAAAGATTAATCCACTATTAAACAGCTTAATTGGTCCACAAATTGACTTCCATATAAGTGATTTAATTGTACCACACTAAAGAATACATCATTTATACAACTACGACTCTTTAATGTGTTTTAACTAATCATGCGAAAATGTTGTTATCGTAAACCTCTAAGTCACCGTTAATATTAGCTGTATTCATGGTTTTTTATAAAGTATAAAAAAAAACCCTTATCCGATAAAAGGATCAGAAACTCATCCGTGGGTAATCCGGATGTCTAGGGCGAATTGTGGATAGACAAATGGTTTAGGTTCGATTCCCATTTGAGTCGACTCAAGTATCAGAAACCCTATATAATAATATATATATAATGAAGATGATACAATTGCTTTATAATTGATGCAATTGTTTAAAAGAGAAAAGAGTTTGGTTTTGGTGAAGACTTTTTGGTTAGGGATAGGATTTACACTAGAGAACAACCATTAGTGGGTTAAGTGCTTTTTGAACTCAATCAAACTTCATTGAAGCTAAGACAAGATAACTCCTCCACGACTCCTTTATATATTTTATTAGTTAATCTAACTTATCATTAAAAAGTTATGCTTCGCTTTTAAGGGTAGATGGTAGCTTTGATTAAAAAATTAAAAAAAAAAGTAAAAAAGCAAAAAGAATAAAGAAATTATGGGTTTTTATAATAAGGGTCTTATTCATGAAAGTATAAAGAGTTACAATCCGATAAGATCAGAAGTATGCACGCTTTCTTTTGTTTTGCTTATAAAGAGTCTCAAAGTGTGATGAACATACTCGATATGCAAAATTTTGTCGATAGTAAAGTTATGATCATGATTAGATAAATTTTTTTCCTTGACAGATGTATAGATAACGTAATAGAAAGAATGCGATAACCCTTTTCACATATTTGAAGTTATTTTAAATTTGCAATTTAAAGGCTTAGGCCTTAAGCCCAAGCTAATCCAGAGAGAAATAAAAGCCCCAAATCTCAATTTTCTTGTTAACTTTAGTTCTAAGCAGGTTGGCCCAATACAGAAGCCCAAGCCTAGCCCAACATATCTTTTGTACATATCTAGAGGCTAATCTTTATGTGACATTCACCTTTTTAAAGATACAATTTATTATCACTTATTAACACTTTACTAAAATGAGGAAGCGATAAAAGACAAAATTTTAATCAAATTTCCTCTAGTTGAGATTGCAAAATTTTGTATGAATCTAGATAAATATAAAAAATTGCAGAGCTTATGAACTTTTTTGTTCTTAAAGGGGTCACTAGCCCCTACTCGCCTCTTAACATGTCCGTCCCTGTGTACAAGCTGTTGCAAAACCATATCAAAACATAAAACACCATCAACATGGCACTACATTTCTAGTTTCCGCATAAATATTTTCTAGTGAGAACCTCTACATACTGTTCATATTTGAACTCCGTACATATAGAAGTATGCGTGCTTTCTTTTGTTTTGCTCATAAAGAGTCTCAAAGTGTGATGAACAGACTCGATATGTCAAATTTTGTCGATAGTAAAGTTATGATCATGATTAGATAAATTTTTTTCCTTGACAGATGTATAGATAACGTAACAGAAAGAATGCATTACCCTTTTCACATATTTGAAGTTATTTTAGATTTGCAATTTAAAGGCTTAGGCCTTAAGCCCAAGCAAATCCAGAGAGAAATAGAAGCCCCAAACTCACTTTTCTTGATAACTTAGTTCTAAGCAGGTTGGCCCAATCCCAAGCCCAGCCCAACATATCTTCTTTACATATTTAGAGGCTAATCTTCACGTGACCTTCACTTTTTTAAATATATAATTTATTATCACTGGTTAACATTTTACTAAAATGAGTAAGGGTAAAAGACAAAATTTTAATCAAATTTTCTATAGCCGAGATTGAAAAATTTTGTATGAATCTGGATAAATCTAAAAAATTGCAAAACTTATGAACTTTTTTCTTTTTTCTTGAAGGGGTCACCAGCCCCTATTCGTTTCTTAACATGTCCGTCCTTGATTGTAATGTAATAAATCAACTATCATATCGAATCGAAAACGTTGAAGTAATCAAATCGAAAACGTTGAAGTAATCAAATAGCATTTTTTTTTTACAGCTCTTCCTTGCATATTTGGTTGCACTTAACAACATTGAACACACAATGTGGCTTTTTTGGTCCACTTATCATCTCATCCCCCATTATTTATCATTCTCTAATACATCAAATATATATAATAAAGTCTTCAGCAAAATCTAAAGTCTCATATCTCACTAATTATTTCCCTACAGTTCAATAATAATATTTATTCTAGCTAAATAATTTAGCCCATGGTATAAGTAGGGCTAGGCAAATTGATCACTGTGGACTTCACCTTAGTCATCATGTTAATGCTGTTGGTGACTCCCTGTGATCCAATTCCACTGTCCTTGAATCCCTGCAAATTAACCATTTTGTTAGAGACTTGTAGCTATGGAGGGTCATGTTTTTTGTTGTTTATTATGGCAGTTTTGGTTCACCTGGAAAGGGAAATGATCCGGTCCACGAGCCGGCGCAGAGTTTATCTGAACTGTTCCTGTCTCCATTGCATCACTTATGAGCATTGCCTTGTTGATGTCCTTTGTGAACACACAGCCCTGTATTTTCATGACGAATTATGTTAAAACAAACAACTTAACACCAGGGGTGTTTAAAACTGATTAATCGTTTTCTTGAATCGAACAGGTTCTTCAGTTCAAGAATTTCACTGAATAGAAACCGAACCGGTTTAGGGGAAAACTGGTTTTTCAGTTAACCGCTTAGAAAAAATCGGTTAACTGGGTTTGAACCAATTTTCCCCTTAAGGCTTAAACAATTTTTTTTTTTTTTAATTTTTCCTGATTTAAGTTGTAAACATCAACAATACATATCTAAATAAAAATTAAACATTCATACATATGTAAAGAGGATTTAGGTTTAGGGATTTTTTATTAATATTTAATATTTTAATATATATATTATTATAATATCGTAAACCGATTTGCATTTTTTCCAAACCGGTAACTAAATCGAAAATGCAGTTTTTCAATTTTTATAAACCAAAACCGAACCGGTTTTTTGGTTAATCGAAAATTCGATTCGGTTTTTTTTTTGCATTTTTTTGAACACTCCTACTGAACACATATGTGTGAAGCCAGAATCAATGGATGTGTATACCTGCAGTCCGAAATTGCTGGCATTGCAATGGTTGATGCCTTCTTCGACAGAACTGATTCTGATAACCGGCAGGACTGGACCGAAAGGTTCCTCCCAGGCAATCCTCATATCTGGCCTGACATTGTCCAGCAACAAGGGCCAAATGAGGTTGCCTTCCCTCTTGTACTCCTGGCAAAATGTTGCTCCCTTTTGTTTGGCATCCAAAACAAGGCCTTCGATGTAATTCGCAGACGATTCCGACACAACTGGGGTAATATCACAGTTGTTTTCTGGGGGTCCAACTGTCAGTTTAGCCACTTTAGCCTTCACCTTCTCAACCAGGGCATCAGCTACAGATTCCATCACCAATACTACCTTAACTGCAGTGCATCTTTGGCCACTGGCTCAAGATGTAAGGCAAAATATTAAGAAGATCTCCAGCATCAAAAATAGAAACGTTAATTGATGAAAAACATCTAATTCACCTGTAGGAAAATCCTCCTTTTATTATGTTCGCCGCGACCAAATCAAGATCAGCATCCTCCAGCACAATGCAGGCATCTTTTCCTCCTAACTCCATCTGCAGAGGGATCATTCCTGCCTTCTTTGAGATAGAAATTCCAGTGTCTCCACCGGTGAAACTGAGCAGAACACGAACACAAATCAGGTGTGAATAGATAAATAATGATGATGAATTCGGGATTACCTTATGCAGTTGACTGCAGGATGCATAGTGAGGAAGTCACCAATCTCAGAGCCTTTCCCAGTGACACAGCTAATAAGGCCTTTGGGAAAGCCAGCCAAGTGAAAGCAATGCACCATGTGAAGGGCAGCAACAGCACCCTGAAACAAGTTTATGGTTAAGATCAGAGCTATTGAACTCAATTAATTAACCATAAACATAACATAAATAAAATAAAATTTACCTGAGTAGGAGGCTTGAGCACAAGGGAGTTCCCAGCTATCAGTGCAGGTGCAATTTTCGAGACAGCGAGGTTGACCGGATAGTTGAATGGTGGGATGGCTAATATCACCCCAAGTGGAATCTGCAGTTTAATACAAATTTTCATCAGAAACCATTTTGATGACAACATGATGAATGAAAGTGGCCGAAAAGCTATGGCAAACAGTTAGAGCTTTTAGTAGCCCATCTTTTATCTTCAACTCATCACATTATCAGACAAATTATGCAATCAGGAAAGAATTATAACATCAACTGTAACAAGCTCCCAAGGATCATGAACTCAACTCTCAAAAATGGTGAAATCTCGAGGAGTTTCAGAATTTACCTTGGAAGTGAGGCAGTACTTAGTCCTGTCATTCCCCGGAAAACTATCCGAAACCAAGAACTTCCCCTCTCCCAAAATTCTGACCCCCTCTTCAGCACAGTAAGAAACCAAATCTCCTGACCTCACAACCTTCACAGCATCAACAAATTCACATCAAAATTTTAACTACATCCAAAGCAAAAAATCAGAAACGGTTAATATACGTACCTCAGTGACAGCATCCTTGGCTGGTTTTGCGATTTCTTTCACCAGGCACTCAGCAATTGGTGCTTTATGCTCCTTGAGAATAGCAGCAGCCTTGTGAAGCAGCTCAGCTCTCCTCCAAAGTGGCGTTTTCGCCCACGATTTCTGCGCAGTTTTTGCAGCTTCCATAGCTTTGTTAACCTCCTCCTGTGTACAAGCTGTTGCAAAGCCATATCAGAACATAAAACACCATGGACATGACACTACATTTCTAGTTTCCACATGAATATTTTCTAGCGAGAACCTCTACATACTGTTCATATTTGAACTCCGTACATGCAGAAGTTCATACCAACATGTTAACTACTAAAAGAAAAGCAAAATTAGGAAGCACAGACCTTGAACTTTGTACTGAGTTTTTCTAGTGGTTGGATTGATAATGGCAACACTTTTCCCAGAAGAGGATTTCTTCCATTCTCCATCAGCATAGTATTTGAACACTTCTCCATCAATAATGTCACCAAAAGCTCCACTTCCAGCCATAGATCCTTACACAAAAACCACACCAACACAACAAACAAATCAAAACTCAAACACCCTTTTGATGTTCTCCTTCTTCTTGTTGTTCTTGTGGTGAAGTGAAGTGAAGGGAAGTGTATGGTGTGAGTTTGGCCTTGAAATGGTGATTAATATAGAAACAATTTGAACCATATGCTTTATTATGGTCCAGCAACGTGGGACAAAGGTAGTTGTTAGGTGGTCCAAACCATGCCTAGTGAGCAACCCTTTTTTTTTTTTGTAATTTAATTTAATTTTATATTAGCCCTTGTAATAATATATTACGTAAAACTTATAAGGGCAATATCACACTTATAGTCTAATTTCACAAACTAGCTTTTACAACTCCTAGACGACAGCTTCCAGTTTTTTGTTTTTTGAATTTTCCAAAATTCAAAATTCATTAGTAAAAAATTGGGAGCTACCATAAATTGTAATATACACGTTTTGTTATAACTCAGTATAATATTAAAACTAAGATTTGATAAATAGAATTGTTTATTTAATATTTACTCATTCTCCAGGTACATTAGTTTTTTGTTTGGTAGAAGGTTAAAAAAAGACTTTTTGGTTAGATTTAAAAATGTTTATCAAATGGTTACTATGAAGTTTGGTGGTTTTTAATCACAATTAAAAGGTAAAATAAATAACAGATTTGGAAAAAAAAAAAAAAAATAAACACTAACCTCGTGGCCGAATGTGAGAGTTTAGCCTGTAGGGTGTTCAATGAACCTGAGGATTAGTTTGGTGTGCGAGAATGGTTCGGATACTTAGTTATTAAAAAAAAAAAAAAAAAAAAAAAAAATTCAAACTTATAGTTTAGAGTTGCATATGAACAAAATTTAAAGTTAATTTGGTGCCATAATTGTTTAGGCATGACCAAATTATGTTCTTTTTAAGTCATACCAAGATAGCAACTTGAATCAAGCATTCTTGAGGACAGCTTTTCAAGATCTATAAAGCGAAATGGTCACTCTACCAAACGTTTGGTGTTTTCAATCAAATATTAACTTTCAATCCATTTAGAACGAATTGAAACTGATTCTAAACACAGTAATCGGTAAACTCAATGTATGTACAAAAATGTTATATCTTAAAACCCTAAATATTAAAGTAGATTTTGATCGATATCTCGAATAATACTCGAAATTTTAGGAGGATTTTTTATTTTTATTTAATATTTCTCATAAAAGCATCTCTCCACAAGATGGGAACTTGCAAAATTTTATTATAAACAATGAAAATTCAGGTGTCTCCATATGTAGGAGTGAAACCAAGCAAAATCAATAAAGATAAGAATTGCAGCAGGCTCCAGAAATTCATGAAATCTGTTTGAGCTTTATCCTTTTACCTTCCTTATTTATGGCATTCCATTTAGAGCTAGAGTCCAAAATTTCTTATCCTTCCCATAAATATTGTGCCAAGATCCCCCTACACCAGATGATATTGCAACATTATTCATGAAATTAAGTGTGACTTGGTCACTCTATTTTTACCCAAGTTATGTACCGAAAATTTTTAAGGTAATCAGTATTTTCGGTATAAAAAATTCTATTTGAAATCTAACCCCCCTGATGGTACATTTTTCAAATCTCTATTCTATTATCCTATCCTAAACCCTAAACATGCCCTAATCTTTAATGTATTAGTTGTGAGATAAACCTGACTCAATCATTAATAAACATGATATAGATTTGGATGACTAATTTGTTTAACTTTATAGTTTTTATAATATGTTATCATATAATATAATTTAATGTAATTACTCTGAAGTAGGTCCGACTCTTATACCGTTTTACATCATACAATCCTAAAAAATAACGACGACGAATAAGAGTTTAACACTTTATTTGATTGCATCCACAATATTAACTTCATTAAAAAAATCTTAATTAAATCTCATGGGTCATAATCAAATAGTGAATTAATTTGTATGAGCATCAAAATTTCCCACCTACACAAATGAGATTTATACAAAATTTCAAGTCAAAGTAAAGGAGTAGTAGCTTATAGCTTGGGCCTAAAGCACTTAAAAAAAAGTTTGTTGGAACATGAAACAGTGAGGCTCACAAAAAGTTTGGTGGGTTTGATAGAATTTATGTTGGCTTTTAGTTGAACCAAGAGTTTCAATATGGCCATGCACAACCACAAATCTTCTTTGAGGCTCATAAACCATTATGCATCTCATTCCTCCTATATGCACCACATATTATTGTAGGGATCGAATTTGCGAATACAAGAATTCATTTCTTAACAAGAATTTTAATAATATAACTAGATGGATATGTAAAATTTAACGAAAAATCTTGATCATTGAATTCAAAATTCAAAAAATTTATATCAGTTAGATAACATCACAAAATGGATATACAAGAAAAAACAGAAATTCATCAATCAATGATTTTTAAGGACCACTTTGTATCACATGCCAATAAATCTTTGTGCAGAAGTGGGTCTAATTTTCTCCAAAAAGTTTTGATGGGCCAAAGAGAAATAAAATTATAGATTTAAAGTCCTTTTAGTTGCACTTTTAAAGCAGTAAAAAATGAAAAAAAAAAATACAATTATTTAAAAGAGGTTTCAAATTGTTATAAACATTTATGTCAATTTTGTAAATTGTTATGTTGGATTAAAATGTTTATCAAAAAAATATTTAAAAGGTGTTTTTTTTTTTTTTTCTAAAAGAAATATTTTAATTAAATTAAAAGCTTTAATATAGTTTTTTTAAAACTATTTATATATTTTTTTAAAAGAAAATATAATAATAATTTTTTTTTTTTTTTTAAACCAAAGTGTTTAGATTAACTTACGCGTATCTCGATTAATCATCCGGAGAGACTAACGTAACAACCCACCGCCATGACTCCCTACTTAATTTGCAGATGCTTAGATAGAGAATCAAACATGAGACTGTGCATCTATCCACACTATCTCCCATTCCTCCTAACCATTTTTAAATAAAAAAAATACCGTTCATATATAAATGCTCTTTTAGAAACCATTACGCTTTTTCACAAAAATCATCTTTTATAAGAACATTTTATTTTATTTTATTCTAGAAAACTAATTAATCTATGTCTATTTCCTCTCAATAACAATGTAGCCATAAAGTTATTGACTTCTTCCCGAGATAGCGGTAATCTAGCCATTGTAGAGAGTTTGATACAAGCAGATACGGAGAGTTTGAAAGAAAGGAGGGAGAGTTTAAGTATTATAAAGAGTGAAACGTCTGCATCTTCTCGTTCGCAACAAACCTATCTACACTATCAGTTAACCTAATCCAAAGAGCACCTAGGCTTGTCCGGGAGTTACTTGTCATCTTTGTTTCGTCGTCTTTGTCTTCGTCTTTGTCGCCTTCGCCTTCGTCTTCGTCTTCATCGTCTTCGTCTTCGTCTTCGTTGTCTTCGTCTTCATCGTCTTCGTCTTCATCGTCTTCGCCTTCATCGTCTTCGCCTTCGTCGTCTTCGTTGTCGTTGTTCAGGACATAGTTCGGGTCGTTCTCATGGTTGTCCTTTGTTATTGCCGCTGTCCGGGTTGTTCTGCTGGGCGTTATTACCGCCATCCGGGTTGATGTTGTCGTTGTCAATGGAAAAACCTCTGAGTTCTCGCAGAACAGCTATGGACATGTCTCTCAACATGCGCGACACCTGATTCGTTGTCAAGGCGCCGATAAAAGCCACTAACTACAAAATGTAAATAATGGAAATGAGTATGGGTAAGTAGTGAAGACAAACTATTTAACTAAAGAATACCTCAAAAATTTCCAACTGCTTAATGGTATTGAACCGCCGGCCTAATAGTTGTTAAACAGTCAATGTCTACATACGGCTCTCTATTCTTATTTCTGTAGTTGTAAGATGTAGATGATGGTCGATAAACTGTCTATTTCTTCTCAATAACAATGTAGCCAGAAAGTTATTGACTTCTTCCCGAGATACCAGTAATCTAGCCATTATAGAGAGTTCGAAACAAGCAGATATGGAGAGTTCGAAATAAAGGAGGGAGAGTTTGAAGTATTATAAAGAGTGAAACGTCTGCATCTTCTCGTTCACAACAAACCCATCTACCTTATCAATTAACCTAATCCAAAGAGCATATAGGCTTGTCCTGGAGTTACTAGTCATCTCCGTCTTCGTCTTCGTCGTTCAGGTCATAGTCCGGGTTGTTCTCCTTGTCATCCTCGTTATTGTCGCCATTCGGGCTGTTCTGCTAGGCGTTATTGCCGTCTGGGTTGATGTTGTTGTTGTTAAGGGAAAAACCTCTGAGTACTCACAGAACAGCCATAGACATGTCTCTCAACATGCGCGGCACCTAATTCGTTGTCAAGGCACTGATAATAGCCCCTAACTAATAAATGCAAATAATGGAAATGAGTATGGGTAAGTAGTGATAATAAATTATTTAAGCCCCTAACTAATAAATGCAAATAATGGAAATGAGTATGGGTAAGTAGTGATAATAAATTATTTAACTAAACAATAACTCAAAAATTTCCAATAGCTCAATGGTATTGAACCGCCAGCCTAATAGTTGTTGAATAGTTAATGTCAATATACGACTCTCCATTCTTATCTCTGCAGTTGTAGGATGTAGACGATGGCCGATAAACTGTCTATTTCTTCTCAATAACAATGTAGTCATAAGGTTATTGGCTTCTTCTCGAGATAGCGGTAATCTAGCCATTATAAAGAGTTTGAAACAAGTAGATATGGAGAGTTTGAAAGAAATGAGAGAGAGTTTGAAGTATTGTAAAGAGTGAGATGTCTACATCTTCTCGTTAACAACAAACCCATCTACCCTATCAATTAATATAATCCAAAGAGCATCTAGGTTAATCCGGGAGACACTAGTTGTCTTCGTCTTCATCTTCATTGTCTTCGTCATCGTCATTCAGGTAGCAGTCTGGGTCGTTCTCCTGGTCGTCTTTCATTATTGCTGCCATCCGGGTTGTTCTGTTGGGCGTTATTGCCGTCCTCCGGATTGATGTTGTCGTTGTCAAGGGAAAAACTTATGAGTTCTGGTAAAACAGCTATGAACATGTCTCTCAACATACGCGGCACCCTATTCGTTATCAAGGCGCCGATAATAGCCCTTAACAACAAAATAAAAATAATGGAAAT